GGACTCGATCCAGGGACTCCAGGATCATGACCTGAGCCGAAGGCAGTCGCTTAACCAACTGAGCCACCCAGGCGCCCCTGCAGGGAGTTCTTAAACTAGATTCCAGCTCTCCTTCAGAGGTGGAGCACCCAGGGAGGGTAATGAGCCTGCTAAATATAGTGAAGACACCGTACTGAATGGGGACACGGAGGGGCCGTTTGCATACCTAGCATTTAGGTCATGCAAATGGATGGTCTGAGAAAACCTTGTTATTCTTGGACCTCGGGACTCTGTCTTTGGTTTCCTGAGGCCTGCCCTGATGTTCAGGGGATTCAGCAGCCGCCTCTGTCCTCGAAATTGAAGGACGTGGTATTTGTTTTATACTTCGTTGCAGAATTTTAAAAATGCTTCTTCGTATTTCCCTGCTAGCGAGGCAGAGGAGTGAACCAGACTGCCTTGTTTGTCCTCCTCGTCCTGTGTTCTGGAAAGAAGCTGTGTAGGAGTGTTGAGGACCACAGGCTGTGGGTGTCTAGGACATCCTGATCTTCGGGTTTGACTAATTTGCAAGAGGTAATGGCAGAAGGAATGAATGGAGATGATGTGGGGCCTGTTCCATTAAGGACCCCGTCCTCCTGAGTAAGCCTCAATTGAGTACACAGATTTTGACGGTTTTATTGTAAATATCTTATCACCGGTCAGACTTGCGACACCGATTTCCCCCAGAAGTGCTCTGTGTACCCTTGACAAGGGGAGAAATTATTTACGAGCCTCAAAGAGTGCCTGGCACTCAGTAGGCCTCAGTGCCTTCATCAGTAAGTGAATGCATGAGCAATCAGTACCTCCATACAACAAGCAATTTATTTGTCCTCCCTTCTATTTATAACAACCCAGAGCTTGGGGCTTGGTGGCAGCAGATTCTTATTCTCACTCTGAATAATGAGGAAAATCGTTTGACCTCTTTGGAACGCCAGGGCGTGCTGGGGGGCTGAGAGACAGCATGGGGGTGGCTTGGACCGAGGGGTGTTCAGTGTGGGGGTGGTGACGATTGTTGGGAGCTGGAAGTGGATGCTGGCCCCGAGCTTGTGGCCATTTCTCCAGCCGGGGACCAGGGACCAGCGAGCAGGGACCCGGCGGCCTGCAGGGATGCCGTGGTTCTGCAGATGCCGCTGACGGCGCTTTGAAGGATTGCTTTGGCCGGAGACCCACTCCTCAGCCTGCCTCCACTATGACTCATTCGGGCTGTATTATTTTGGTAGCAGAAAAGATCGAGATGAGATGAAAGAAGCATTTCTTAAGAGTCCGAGCTCCTCGGTATTAGATCAGCACCTCAGAAATATGATGTTCTTTACAGGTCACAGATACAGGCTTTTAAAAAAAATTATTGAGATGAAATTCACATAACATTAACTGCTTTCACGTGAATGATGGCGGTGGCATGTATAGTCCATTCACGGTGTTGTACGATCACCCCCCTGCCTAGTTCCATCACTCTAAAATAGAACCCCTTACCTGTGAAATGGTAACTCCCCAGGTTCCCTTTCCCCCCAGGCCCTGGCAACCACCAGTCTGCTTTCCATCTGTATGGACTTACTGATTCTGGATCTTTCATGTACATGGAATCAGGCAATATTGTGACCTTTTGTGTCTGGCTTCTTTCAGTAGCATGGTGTTTTTGAGGTTTGTCCACATCATGGCGTATATCAGATCATGGAGTTTTAACAACTACCCCAAATACCCAAAGACAGCCTCTCTCCCAAACAGTGGGTCTTCCGGCTCCCACCAGTTGGATCCCAGGTAGTGCCAGTAGGAAGGGGAACGGACTAGATTCACTGCTCCCCAGAGAAGCTGCATTACGGACACCCGGAGCGTCTCTTTTAAAAACAGGAATTCCTGGGCCCCAGTCAGAGAGGGATCTGAATCGGTAGGTCTGGGGTGGTTCTGTCAGCTGGGTTTGGGAGCCCCAGACCGGGTGACCTTTGGGGCATTAATGACTGCCGGTGAGCCAGGCCGAAGCTTCGGGTACCTCCGGATGCTGTGGGTTGCTGATGATGCAGTTTTTGTGTGTGGAGATTTTGGTGGCATGTGATTTTTTCTCTGCCTTCTGAGGGGAGGCATCGGGCCCCTCCCTGCTGCTTTGACATCTCCAATTAACTGTGTCTCATTTATCAAGTCCTTCATTTATTTTTTTTACAGGTGTTTCACCAAGCTTGCCTTTGGCTTCCTTTGTCAGAAAGCCCTTGGACGTTCTGATGCTTGTCCTTTGCACTGCTCTCATCTCACCCCTTCCCCTCTGTTAGGATTGGTTGAGGGGCCTCATAAATCTCGTGTCCTCTGAGGAGAAAGACTTCAGCACGTAGCATTAAGACTTCTTTCCCACTCTCGTCACTGGAGGCTCTGTAACCTGTTCAGATTGTCACCTGCCAGGGGGACCGTTCTGAGGTTGCCCGAGTCAAATGTTGGTGGGCTCTTTCATGCCAGACCCTGAGAACTCGGGTGATTCTTCCAGGTGCCGAATCCTTTATCGTATCGATGTTCGCATACGTTCACTATTTATTCCCCTCTGTTCTAAGGGCGAGAATGTCTTTGGAGGGCAAAGACTTTTAGCCTGAATTCCCAGGGTGCTTGTGCTATTGGGCTTCTGATTTGTAGATGCTTCTAGATTCTTCCCAGCGGCATGAGCTGGAGGGCGAGTGGTGGGAGAACGGGAAGGCTGGAGTAAGGCCTCATGAGCTGCTACTGGAGATTGTCTCCGCTGCTTTCCCTCTGTAGCATTCTCACTTACATTATTTACTTACTTCTATTTTTCATTCGTCCTTCTCTCTTGATGCCCACCTGGACGTCTCTCTGGGAACGAGAAGGGACATTTTGGAATGACGTATTTTCCTAAAAAATACCCAAAGGTCTTTCTCTTTACAGAAGTCTCATTTCAGATATTTTCCAAAAGCATTTGGATCCTGGATCAAATGAAACACAGGCGCTCCAGAGTCAGAGCAGGGTAGTTAAGGATTCGCTCCTTTGTCATCTTGTCTGCCAAGTTTGGGGCACAGGTGTCTGCCTTCTCCCTTGTGACATCTGAGAGCAGCTCGAGGAGGGGGGTGGGGAAAGTTAGGGCGGTGGCGGGACAGAACAGAAAGGAGAAAGGAGGTGTGGGGAGGGTTTTCTGCCGCAGAACCTCTATGGGAAGGCAGCTCAGAGGGCCCGTCAGCTCAGGCTTGGACTTTGCATCAGCCCAAAAGGGGAGGGTGGTGGGGGGATATGCAGGTGGGATTGTGCGGAGGCTCCTTGGAGCCCAGAAGCTTGATTTCCTTCTACATGTGCCCCAGACAGCCGAGGTTGGAGAGGCTGGTGGAAGAGGCTTCTCCCAGACACTGCTCAGCAAGAGGGAGAGTGCATGTTCCTGATTTGGGGGTGGGAGGGGGGGGCTTTGTCCTGATTCTGACTGTTAACAACAGCTCTCGGAATTTTTTTTCTTATGGTCATCGGTTTGCTCTTCACACAGAGTAGGTGAAATGTGAGCTCAGGGCTTCTGAGATGCTGGCCCTCAGACTGTCTGTCCGTGTCTGGTTGAAAGAGGGAGAATAAAAGGAATGGAGTTAGTTTTTCATAAAGCAAAACTGTCTAAAAGAACTGTTCTTATTCTGAGATCCTTATTCAGTTTTCGGTGTTTAACTGTCCTTTCTTTAAAAAATGACGGTGATTGGGCGCCTGGGTGGCTCAGTCATTAAGCGTCTGCCTTCGGCTCAGGTCGTGATCCCAGGGTCCTGGGATCGAGTCCCGCATCGGGCTCCCTGCTCAGCGGGGAGCCTGCTTCTCCCTCTGCCTGCTGCTCCCCCTGCTTGTGCTCTCTGTCTCTCTGACAAATAAATAAATAAAATCTTAAAAAAAAAAAAAATAAAAAATGACGGTGATTATGGTGGTCATGTTGCTTAGGAGGGCTAGCTGCATAATGGACGGATCCCAGAAGCTCAGTGGCATAAATGGATCCCCTAATTGTAAGGAGTTCAAAGCGACTGTTACTGACTAGTGGAGGGCTTTCTCATTGGCGACGTGGGCTCCTTCCTCCTTGTGGTTCCACCCTCACCTGGGGCTCTGGAGTCCTCAATGGGGCCTGCGGATGGGGAAGAGGCCGAGGGCTGGCAGGGGCTGGGGCTGGTGGCCCTGACCACCTTCCCTCATGTTCTGAGGCCAGAAGTCAGGCCACACCCCACGGCAAGGCAGCCTGGGCACGAGTCTGCTATGTCTTCAGGGAGCAGAGGAAACCGGTTCAGAGAACAGCAAGTTCAGCTCGACACAGTGGCTGTTTTTGTTCATGTCCTTACCTGGCAAAATGGAGTTGGCCAACCAATCCTCTGCTGGCCTTTTTAATTAATTTTCATCTTACTGGTTTACAAAACCCAGAAGTCTAGGAACTACTGTTAGCAAGAATTCGAAGGTCATTTCTGGGGAGTCCTGGAAAATATTTCCTTACTTGGGACCCTTCAAAACTAATTAAATAAAACTTGTACCGTGATGTTTTTCTCTTGTTCCTCCTTGCGAGGCGCTCAGGACGAGCCATGTCACCTGTCAGCCAGACAGGGCACCAGATTGAATGGAGGTTTGAAAGCCTGTGGTCTTTCTGGCCTGTGCACTCTTTCTGAATGAGGAAGATGTGTCTGTTTCGGTTTCAAGGCCTTAGGGGAGTGCATGACCCACGTATGGGTTAGGGATGAAAGTAACCGGAGATTGATTACGCAAAAGACAAGAAGAATAAGAAAGTCACTGGTTATGTCAGAGAGAGCCTGAGAAGATTTTTTTGCAATCCACTTATATCCAAAATAGCAGGGAATTTGTATTTCTTCTTGGGGAAGTTGTGTCTTGTGGAATCTGCACTGGGGGAAAAATAGGCCAGCCTGGCCCCGTGCTCCAGATCTCAGAATCTTAGCTGTTTCTGAGTGACAAAGGAGGAGAGAGTCTTGCTTTAGAATATCGTGGCCCTCACTCATCGTGGGTCCTAATTCCTGTGTCGGTTTGATCTCTTTCAGGTTAGTCTGAATGATTCCCACAATCAGATGGTGGTGCACTGGGCCGGAGAGAAAAGCAACGTGATCGTGGCCTTGGCCCGGGACAGCCTGGCCCTGGCGAGGCCCAGGAGCAGTGATGTAAGTATTGGTGCTGGTCTGGGCGCTCCTCTGTGAGGCCACCAACATGCCCTCTTGGAATCTGGCGGGGTTATCATGCCAGTAAAAAAATAGTGTGGGTAAGTAGAGAATGAATGGATGGGATACATTTTACAACAGGGAAGAGAATCTGAACAATAATAAATACCCCTCGTTTGCCGAACAGAGGGTGGTGCAGGCCATTTTGCAATGAGATCCGTGTGATGCATGATTACTTTTGTCAAGTGATCGGGTTTGATCTGGATTGTTGGGTCTGCTCCGCAAAATGCCAGAAGCACATTCCGGGCAGAGCTGCCCGTCTGCCCCAGAGCCCGATGGGACCCCTTCCAGTGGGGTGGGTTCTTGACTCTGATGTGCTCATATTCTTGGTTTTCACGGTTGGCTTTCTGTATAGCATTTAAGAGTTTAGGTACTTTGAAGACGAGACACCAAGGGTCACAGACTCAAAGGCCCGTGAGAGACCAGGTGGGTAGTGGCAGGAGAAGCCTGCCTCCCAGTTCACCATGCTCGCTCTTCCAGGGAGGAAAACGGTTTCTCCCATTTTTCTTGAAGTGTGTGGCCTCCTGGGCCAGTGTGTCATTTTCCCACTTTGATAGAGATGCAGGTTCAAGAAGCATTCACCTGTTAATTTGAATGCGGTGATTGATCCTTGGTCTCTGTGTCCGTGAGGCACTGAGAAGTAGAAGGGATTTGGTGCTTGGGAGGGGCTGTTGTCATCGGTCTTAGTTCTGGTTGCCGTGTAGGGCCCGGCCTTGCCAGATCTGATTTCCGAGAGAAGCTCAGAGGTCTGGGTTTTTACGTGAAAACTGCAGAGTCTTACAAGTTGACAGCTCATGTATCGTTTGTACAAATACTGGGCGGGCCAAGTACAACCTATACAAGGGCCAGAGCTGGTCCTTGGGTCCCATGTGTGTGGCCCCGGCTCCAGACGTCCCCTTGTGGGAAGAGGGCCAGCCCCTGCCTGGGGTCAGGGATGGATGTGGCAGGGTGAAACCTGTGGACAAAGAAACACCGCGTGGAGCTTTGTTCACTCTGCGCTCTGGCCAGAGGGAACCTCCTGGTGAATTTCCTAGCACTGTCACATCAGCCCGAAGGAAACTCGGCATTCTTGAGTACAGACCTGGTCTCTGTGAGATCCCTCTCTGTGTATCCGCTGTCCGGCTTGGTTGTGCTCCTAGGTAGGTGCCTGGAGGGAGCACCGGTGGCTGCTTTCTAGTGGGTTCAGTGGAGACAGCCACAGACAGGGAGGGCGGTGGAAGGGCTATAATGTAGAGCTTTTGTCCAGGATGGCTGCTGAGCAGGGGCGGGTGGGAAACTGTGGTCATTGACAGCCAGTTTGGATGTCGTGCTCTGGAGCAGGGCTGGACTTTTTGGGGGGCAGTGGCTTTGGCCTATTTATAAATGCGACCAGGGTTTGCGAGCACAGACGGCAGCCTATGGATGCTGTTGGTCCCGTGAGGCCCCGAGGCACCTGTGTATATACTCAGTGCGGTCACGGCCTGCACACCCCTTCATGGCTACCCCTTTTGAGCACCGGAAACCGCTGTGGGCCCCACTGTGTTGAGAAATCCTCCTTAGCCTTTTTATACATTTAAAAAATTCTTTGTCTAGATAATATTTTTTTACGAGACAGGTAAAAGACCTTAACCGTTGTATTACGGCTTTGCTGGACAAACAGGAGCCTGGAGACATGAAGTGGCCTGCTTGAGGTCACGCAGCGGTGGCTCCCGAGACCTGATCACGTGCCCGCTGTGTGAGGTGTCATGTTGCCAACGGGACCCACTCGTCTGGGTTTTTGCCCTCAAAGCCCTGCGTCCTGGGAGCCTCCTCAGGCCGGGGGTCACCCTGGATGGTTGGTCTCCCCACATATGGCCTGTCTGCCCAAACCCCATTCTCACTCTAACTATCTGGGTGTGTCTTACCGAGAAGCCATTGAGCATGGGACGCGATACACCATTCTGTAATGAAATACACGATAAGATTACACGGGAAGGAAATGCCATGCTCGGAGATAATAAACGGGAGTGGCAGAGATTTACCCCCGTCCGCACACAGGCTACATTAAAGACTTGGCAGCTGAAACGGAGATGTTCTGATGTGAAATGTTAACGCAGAAATAAATTATGACTCGGAGGCTGGAGTTGGTGGTGCGGGCATCGTAGCAACCCCGACTTTCTTGAGAGAAGAGCGGGAGCACGGTTCGTAAGGCCCCGTCAGCTGTCCAGAAGGGAAGGGACCAGTGTAAGTGAGGAGCTGTGTGTGTGTTGAAGAATGGCCAAGTCATGCATATTCAGTATATTAAAAAGGGACGGCTCTGGAAGCTGGAATCCCGGAAGGTTTGCTTTTCAACAGAAAAAAAAAAAAAAAAGAATAATGTCCCGATGAACTGGTAGCAAGTGTGATTCCGTGAGGACTGGCGGCTGCATTCCAAAAGGAATGCCATCTTTTTCTCTGATAGTCTGGTTGATGAAAGGAGACAATAGGTATTGTTTATCTTGAGCCTCCCCGCTTATCTCTTTCCGCCCTCTCCTGACATAGTTTGCAGAGGTACTCAGGTGCAGCCACATTGGCCAAGGAGCTCTGCAGAGATCGTGTCCACCGGAAGATCAGAATCAACCAGGGAAGGTTTCAGGAAGGGTAGGACTTGCTGCCTTTGCACCCAGAGTGGCGTGACGTTATGACTGGTGCCCCCCAGGATGGACCGGGGAGCAGGGCCAGCACTGGCTAGCTTGCTAACAGGGTGGAACTTGGGAGCCCGTGGAGCTGGTGTCTTGCTGAGCTTTGGCTCTGAAGTCAGAATGCCTGGGGTTGAATCCTGGCTCTGCCGTTCGTTAGCAGTCAGACCCTGAGCCGAGTCATTAACCTGCTATTGGTCTTCTCATTTGTCAGTGAGATAGTGCTTGTAAAACCTTGCTCCCCAAAGTATGGGCTGTGGGTCAGCAGCCAGGGGTGTTTTCTGGGAGCTGGTTAGAAAGGCAGAATCTCAGGTTCTACTCCAGACTTCCTGAATCACAGTCTGCATTGTGACCTACGTTGTGCCAGGTGACTTGTAGGCATGTTACCGTTCGAGAAGCACTGGTGTGAAGGACTCAGAACGGGGCTAGATAAGGAGATGCTTTCTGTACATTTCAACCCTTCTTTCCTTCCTCCCTGCCTCCGCTGTCCATTCTGCCTTTTCCCCTCCTTGCTTCTCGTCCTTCTCATTATTATTATTACGCTGTTTTAAAGTAGGGAGAGAATCCAAAACCACTCCCATGGAAGGACCACCTTTATAGGTGAGACAGTGATGTAACCAGCAACTTTGGCAGTTTTAGGGACTCCTCCCGTTTTATTCTGTTCTTTTAGGGAGTCATGTCTTAGAGAAGTCAGAGAGGACTGATCGGTGCAGAACCTGTGCTCGGAGGAAAAAAAACTCTATGGGAGCACAAGGATGAGCGAGTATAGGATGTTTGCCCACATTCACCTGGAGAGCACAGTGGGCAGTGCTCCAGCAACCTGGCGCTCCCTGGGAACTGAAGCAGAGCATACAGTGGGGGTGCAGTGTGGAGACCACGAGGCCGTCAGCCCACTCGGCATTATCTGAGCACTGGCAGAGGCCTTTTCTGGGCTCCTCGTTGTGGAGGAGGGTGGATAGCTGTGCACAGCCCTGAGCTTGGTCTTTGCCCTGTGGAGCTTAGGGTCTAGGTTAATCCAACAGAAATAAGAATTATGAGGACAGGATAAAAATATCATGTTGGGATGGTTCGACCTGGAGCAGAGGAAGCAGGTTGATGAGTCATTTACAAGTGTCTTGAGGCGTAGGATGGGCCCTTACATACTTACTCTTGACTTCTATTAAGTATAAGTCGTAAAGAGATGGGGATTGTTTACAGGTGCATATTAAGGAAGAGCTTTTTGGTAGTGAGGGCTGTTGTCTCTCTGAGCGTGAAGTGACAGAGGTGTGGCTGAGGATCTCAGAAAAGGTCTGTGTTTTGTTAAGGTTGGTGTTTTACCCCTTCTTTCCCCCCACTCCTTCCACTGCCCGGCCTGCAGACTCAGTGTGTGATCTCCCCCTTTAACAGAGCACTATATGTCTGTAGCAGAGAGCAGCCTCCTAGAAGGGTAACTTGCAAGAGTGGAAAGACAGATGGACCAGGGATTGGAGGGAACCCATTATGTTTTGTCAACTTCCAGGCTATATGACCATTAACTTCTCTGAGTCTTGGTTTTTTGTCATCCTATTAAATGGAAATAATTCCTCATTCACTCACTCACTGATTCATTCATGTCAATCTCTTTTTTATTCATTTGTGGGACATATTCATTTACCTCACTCTGTGGTTTATAGTGATGTTTAATTCCAGAAATCTTTACTAAGCAATGTGCGATATTCTAGGTACACCGAGGGAGGCAGAGTGAGGCTGACCCACAGAATTTTTTTTTTTTAAAGATTTTATTTATGTAGTTGACAGAGAGAGACACAGCGAGAGAGGGAACACAAGCAGGGGGAGTGGGAGAGGGTGAAGTAGGCTTCCTGCGGAGCAGGGAGCCCGATGCGGGGCTCTGATCCCAGGACCCTGGGATTACGACCTGAGCTGAAGGCAGATGCTCAACGACTGAGCCACCCAGGTGCCCCTATTTAGACTTTTTATTAAAGCTCCAGTTTACCTTCCTGATTAAATTTTGCTTAGGTGAATATTAAAATGAGCTTGCATTCTTCGAGTAGCTGATCTGTGAAATGGCTGGCATAAATGTGTTCAGGGAAAGCCAGTTGGGTGTTTAGAATTTTCGACAGTAATTCAGATATGGATAATTGAGAGTTCACTGCACAGAAATAGATTCAAGCTGAGGTATTACACTAACTTTTCTTCCATTTTTTAAGATTTAGTTGTGATGCAAAGGAAAAGAGAGCTGGCTACATTTTGGTTTGAATATTTGAGGATTAGTGTTTCTGCAGAAGTGGTCTGGGCTGCTAGGGGTAAGGCATTTTCTTTGTTGAGCACAGAACCTTCCTGCGTATTCTCTAGGTACACTCAAATCCATTGGCACAGGGCATATTCAGTCCAGCCACGTAGATGCAAGAATCAATTTCCCTCGGTTTAAAATGAGTCCCAGTTAATTTCGACCTAATTTATTGGTTTATCGACCTGTGGACCTAGGGCCTTCAAAGAAGTGGCATGGGCAGCCTTCTAGCACTGAAGTGGCCGATAATGCTATAAATCAGAGAAGGCAGGGTCGGTGGCTGATTAGCATCAAGATTTGGGTTGTTTCCTACCTCATTGTGAGACCCCCAGTTTTTTTTTTTTTTAAAGATTTTATTTATTTATTTGAGAGAGAGAGA